TCCCTTCCCTTCCCTCCTCTCCTTTCCTTCTTCCCTTCTTTTCCTTCCCTTTCCTTCCTTCCCCCCCCCTCCCCCCCCCTTTCCTTTCCTTTCCTTTCCTTACCATACCCTTCTCTTCTCCTCCCCTCTCCTCCCCTCTCCATCCTTTCCCTCCCTCTCTTCTTTCCTTCCATCATTTCTTGTTCCCTCTTCTTCCACAGGCAATGCAGAAATGGCGCCTGGTTTAAAATGCAACGATTAAAAACGAGCGATGTATTAACTGCTCGTCCATGCCTAATCCTTTTGAACCCCATTCTTAGCCTGGTTTGCAAGGGGAGGGTTCAGACAAACTTCTCCTTTTAGCAGGCAGAGAAAGCGCGGGGTTGGCAAAGGGGAGGCTTGAGAGCATCCAGACAATGGGTTCATTCACTAATCCAGTTCAAGATAAAATAAAGTTCCTTGTTGCCTGTTTTGCTTGGACGGCTCAATTGGGCCGTATCTTGGCATTCACGGCAAACCAGCCTGAACCACAAAACACGCAGGCAAGGATTATGCAAAGGCCCGCGTTACACCCTTGTATCCCAGAGTCTCACCTGAGTTCAGTAGTCCTCAAATTATGACCTTAACGGAGTCTTTGCCCATTACGGTTGTAAGTCATGACAATTGCAAAGTGGCTTTACCACGTGATCGACTTGATTTTATGATCTTTTAATGGCCACAACCATTCAGCAAACATGGATGTCATAGAATGCATGCTGTACTTGTTCACTGAACATCACAGTCCGTGGTTGGTACGGAGCATTTTAAAACCAGAAGTCAATGTCGTTTTCGGCAAAAATGTTGTCAGTCAGGATTATGTGATTGTGGCACTCCATCAGAGGAGGATGTAGTTCGGAAAATATTGGACTGTGCCGAGATGGATAGATTGACATTAAAAACAAAGGACAAAGAAGATACAGAATATTACTTAACACGGAATAGATTTTATGAGTGGTTAGAGATAAGAGGAGAAAATTAGATGAAGAAAGGTGATTGCTATGTATGAACTAAATATAAAGAAGGTTTATAATTATAAATCTATATATATAAAAGCGAAATACCCCTCACGCATCATCACAAAATCTCCAGAACTGTAAAGCCTACAAACTTGAAATTTGGCACGTTATGTTCCTCTTGGCTTCTAGGGGCTCCCTAAGAAAGGATTTTTCTAAATGACCATCAGAGCATTTAGAGTATTTCCTATATTATTATTAACACGCTCTGATGCTAAGGAGTTCTACTCCCCCCTCCCCACCTGAAAAGAAATCTCTTCCAAATGCAAAACACAAGCAGAGGAGAGGAGTCTCAGTTTCAGTTTTGTTTTTACAGCACCAAGCAGCTTTAGTCCAGAACAGTTGAGCTAAGCCATGTCCAGGCTCCTTACTGTCTCCTTCATGCTCACACAGCAAATACTGTTTCACTTTCCAAACAGCCCTCAACTCTCTCACACACTGACAGGACACTAGCCAGGTGAATACCAATGGATGCTGGTAGACAGAGGCAGAATTTTCTCCCCCTTATTTTCCTCCCGCCAAAACTAAGCCCGACCACATAGTTTCGTGGCAAAGCACGGGTATCGAGCTAGTATGCCAATATAACCAGCAGAACTACAAATAAGCTAAGATAAAGAGAAATCTAGTTAAAACTATTCTGTTACACTATTACTATATGTTAATATTCCTTTTTGTTCTTTCTTTGCTTTTCTGTAAATGAGATGCCCTGACGATACACTGTATTAAAAAAAAAAGGATTATGTGACTGTGGGTGCTGCCCGTGGTTTTACAGTTAGTACTTGATTTATGGCCACAATGGAGGCCACAATTTCCATTGCTAAGTGGAAGCTAATATTAATATTAATAATGATAAAGATAATAATAGCAATAATAATATATTGTTTACCGGTACATATATAATAATAAAAATGTTTTATCTTCTAATTTCTACTTCTATTTTCTAACCACTGATCAAACAAATCCCATGTTGAGAAATATTCTGTGTCTTCCTTGTCCTTTATTTTTAGCATCAATCTATCCATCCCTGCACAGTCTAATCTCTTTTTGATTATGTTCTCATGTGTAGGAGTATCCTCATTCTTTCAATATTGTGCAAATACAATTCTCGCCGCTGTCAACACTATTAAATATGTATTCCCTTTGTTATAATTTTCTGGTGCTATACCTAACAAAAAAACATTTCTGGTTTTAGATCTAAAACCACGTATGTTTTACTTTTTGACATAACCGTGGGATATTTTTCATAGGTGGTCATTTGAACCCGGCGGTCACTTTTGCGATGTGCTTCATGGCTCGGGAACCTTGGATCAAACTTCCGGTTTACGCCCTCGCGCAAACCATTGGAGCATTTCTCGGAGCGGGCATCGTGTTCGGCTTATATTTTGGTGAGTCAATTCAAGGACTTCTTTCTTTGTCGGTTCATGGGCCGGCATCCTTCTCCTTCGGCCTCCATCTTCTGCAAGGTGGCCCCAATTTCCTTTCTTCCAAAGGTCTATAAAGATTCTCAAGTCATGGTTGTCCCAAAGGTGCTTTTTTCCCAAGAGGCAACTGGACTTTCTGGTTTTTCTCTAAAGACATTTCACTTCTCATCCCAGAAGCTTCTTCAGCTCTGACTGGATGGTGGGGAAGGGAAGGATTTTATACTCCTTGCAGACAGCTGGTCATTTGCATCCTTTTTAGAGGGTTGTTGAGGCCACTTGGAGGTTTATCTGTGTCCTCAGGGTTACCTGAGTGGTGCAAATGGTTTCTGTAGTCATTTCCAGAACCGATTTCCAGAAAGATTTCAGAGTACGGAAACCATTTGTAGTACTCAGGTAACCCTGAAATCACAGAGGAACCCTGAGGAACTTGCCTCCAAATTCCTGAAAACTATCTAGGTAGTTCATGTCATCATCCAAAGGCTAGGAGGTCTATCTTAATGAGATACATCTCCCCATGCATAGAAATGGAGAGCTAGCATTCTGCAGCATGTCTGCAATAATCCTGAATTGATTCCTGGTTTCAGTCCCTTTCTCCTGCTGGTGGGATCTACTGACAAATGAGCATCAGATCCAGATGAGCTGAAAAAATTCAAATAAACAAATACATAAACAGAGAACAAATTCCACTCTCTTCTAGCACTGATGATGTTACTTAGTTGGGCCATGAAATGTCTGCAAGAAAACAACAAAGATTAGAGCGCATTAAAGACCCCACAATCCTCCTCCTCCTCCTCCTCTTCCACCTCCTCCACCTCCTCTCCATAAACCCCACTCCCTTCTAGCACTGATGATGTTCCCTAGTTGAGTCATAAAATGTCTGCAAGAAAACAACCAACCTCAGGGAGCACCAAGGACTCCACAGTTTAACCCTGAGCTACAAACGTTTCTTTCCATTGAAACAAGAACATTTTTGATTTGCAAAGTCCCTATCTTACCTGCGTGGGCTAGGCGAAAGAAATGTTGAATTCATATTGGACTGCAAAGCATCTAAGCTGCTTGTGTCAACTCTCGTGGCCCTATCAGTTTTATTGATCCTTGTGGACATGACAAGACACCTTTGTTTAGCAGGGCAAGGTTCAAAACTTCTCATTGTGATAGGAAGAGTCAAAAAAAGGCTGAATTATCTTCATGGGTATTCTCTGCCCAGGCGTGTCTGATAGTCAAAAAACATGAGGATTACGTCTGCGCGTATCCAAGAGCTGTCTCATTTTTACCTGGGTTGCACACACGTAAAAAGACTTAGAACAACTTTATTGTCACTTTAAAATGTGCGTATATTAAACGGGAAGTTCATCGCATATAGCTCTCAAAAGGTCATAAAAAGGAAGCTTCTTTTGCAGTGATGGGTGAAGGAATTCTGGGTGGTTCAATTCTCTATTTTGATCCCTTTTTCCAGATGCCATCTGGGCATTCGGTGAAAACCAACTCTTCGTAGTGGGCCCCAACGGGACAGCGGGCATCTTTGCCACCTATCCTTCGGAACACTTGAATTCCGTCAATGGGTTTTTTGACCAGGTAAGGCACAAATGTCATATTTAGGGCCCATTAAGCAAAGCCTAGTTTAATGAAAAGAAGAACTAGGGGGGGTGACATGATAGGGGTGTTCCAACATCTACGGGGCTGCCCCAAAGAAGAGGGAGTCAAGCTATTCTCCAAAGCCCCTGAAGGCAGGACAAGAAGCAACAGGTGGTAACTAATCAAGGAGAGAAGCAACCTAGAATTAAGGAGAAATTTCCTGTTGGTGGGAACAATTAACCCATCACTGGAGGTCTTTAAGATGAGGTTGGGCAACCATTTGCCTGGAATGGTAGAGGGTTTCTGGCTTTCCTTCAGAAGTTGTAGGTGCTCCAACACTGGATGTGTCAGGATTTCATGAGTTGACAGGTTGTTTTTCAGATTGGACACCCTTTGTCTAAAGGGTACAAGTGTGCAATGGTGTAGCTCGGGTGTAGGATGAGGGTAAAGGTTTGTTCTCTGAGCTTGTGGGTTGGTTTCCAAAATTTTCATTACCAGGCTAGGCAGGGGTGGGATTCAAATTTTTTAACAACCGGTTCTGTGGGCGTGGCTTAGGTGGTGGGTGTGGCTTAGGTGGTGGACGTGGCTTGGTGGCCATGTTATTGGCTGGGCGTGGCCAACTCAATATCACTCACATCGAGGCATGCATCTCCTCGCCTGGCTTCTCATGACTGTGGGGATGCTGAAACAGTCGCAAGTGTGAAAAATGGTCATAAGTCATTTTTTTCAGTGCCATTGTAACTTTGAATGGTCACTCCACACAAGCAAAGGACCAGCAAAGGAGGGAAAAATAACTCCAGAGAAGTTCCTGAGACAGGAAGTCTAGTCCTGCCAAGAATGTAATAAGGGTTAACGGAGAGGCAGTTTCTGTAAGCAACACCAGAATGTTTCCTTCCTGCCTTCCTTACAGGATTAGGCCAGTAATTTCCTCTAACAACCGGTTCTCCGAACTGCTTAGAATGTTAACAACCGGTTCTAGCGAATAGGTGCGAACCTGTAGAATCCCACCCCTGAAGCTAGGTAATATCTTCATCAGAGTTTAGGAGAAACTTAAACTCCCCTAAACTTCGCTGAAGATGTTCCCAACTTGGAAATGAAGCATTCAAAAACCAACCCACAAGCTCGGAGAATGAACCACCCTCATGGGTATAAGATTTCCTGCCTGAGCAGGGGATTGGACTAGAAGACCTCCAAGGTTCCTTCCAACTCTGTCATTCTGTTAAGCCTCCTGAGATGACCGTAATGTTGGGACAGGTAGAAAGTAAGAGTAGAAGAAGACACACAGCATCATGGTGGATAGATGGCGATAGATGGGACACCTGAAAAGGCAGGTTGGGGGCAGATCCTTCTGGAGAAGGTCTAAGTGTGTGGTATAAGGTCTTCTGCCTTGGATAGTAGGTTGGACTAGAAGACCTTCAAGGTTCCTTCCAGGGGTGAGATTCAAAAATCCCAGCAAATGGTTCACTGCCCGGTTGTTGGGTGGACGTGGCTATGGTGGGTATGGCCTACCAGAACTTCTTGGAGGGCCGTTTTTCACCTTCCTCAGAGTCTGGAGGCTTCCTGACTTCTGGTACTTCTGGAAAGCCTGTTTTCCCTGCTTCTAGAACCTTCACGTGAACTCTGACTTACCTGCATTGAAAATAGGCCATGTGGAGACTCCTGGGAGAGGTGGGGTGGGGTGGGCGGGACCAGCCGGTCAGTTCAAATACCGATTTAGTGAACCAGATGCAAATGTAACAACCAGTTCTCCCAAACCGGTCTGAACCGGTAGAATACCACCCCTGGTCCCTTCCAACCCTATGATTCCATGTCTCATCAGTAGCTTCCTGGGATGTGAAGTTAAACTCGGTCAGGTCTTTTCAGCAAATTTTGAGGGGAAATTCCAGGGCTGCAGGATAGACAGGTATGGGAATGGCAAACTGCTTTGGTGTCATTGTCAAGGCACTCACAGGAGTTGTGAAGACAGAAGAATTCCTATTTCCTTGAGGCACCCACTTTTTAATCTTCTTTCTTCTCAGTTCATTGGCACTGCGGCGTTGATCGTTTGCGTCCTGGCCATTGTGGACCCGTTCAACAACCCTGTGCCTAGAGGTCTGGAGGCCTTCACAGTTGGCTTCGTCATCCTGGTCATTGGGACCTCCATGGGTTTCAATTCCGGTTATGCCGTCAACCCGGCCCGAGACTTTGGCCCCCGTCTCTTCACCGCCATTGCTGGCTGGGGTACCGAAGTTTTCACGTAAGTGGCTTTTGCGGCTGGACTGAACTTTGAGAAGGAGGTTGGACTAGAAGACCTCCAAGGTCCATTTTCAACTCTTCTATCCTTCTGTCCTTTCATTAAAAGATATGAAGAACCGTTGCAGGAGCTGGGTTTGGCGAACCTAATGAATAGTGGGGACATAAGAGCAGGGATCCAGTATTTGAGGGGCTGCCACAAAGAAGAGGGAGTCAAACTATTCTCCAAAGCACCAGAAGGCAGGAGAAAAAACAATGGGTGGAAACTAACCAAGGAGAGAAGCCATCTAGAACTAAGGAGGAACTTCCTGACAATCAACAATTAATTAGTGGGACAACTTGTCATCCAGAAGTTGTGGGTGCTTCATCACTGGAAGTTTTTAAGAAGAAACTGGACAGCCATTTGTCTGAAATGGTGTAGGGCCGTGATAGCAAACCTATGGCACACGTGCCACAGGCGGCATGCAGAGCCATTTGTGCCAGCACGCGAGCTGCAGGCAAACTTACCTTACTGCGCATGTGCGCGCCTCACAGCTGATTTTCAGCGGGTTTGAGGCCTTTTAGGCCTCCCAGAGGCTTGAGGAAGGCTTCTGCAGGCTTCGCAGGCTGAAAACTAGCCCTGTTTCATCACTTCCTGTTTCTCCAAAAATACCGGAAGTGACTAAATGGGCTTAGTTTTCGGTCTGCAAAGCCTGCAGAAGCCTTCCTCAAGCCTCTGGGAAGCCGAAAAAGGCCTCAAACCAGCCCAAAATCAGCGGTGAGGCACAGTGCAGGTAAGGGTAGGTGGGTGAGCACGCATGCGTAGGGGGTGTAGGGGGGCACGCATTGCCTTCTGGGCGCTGGCACGCAAGCGCAAGCGTGAAAACGCGCGCACAGGAGACCAAAAAAAGGTTAGGCCCAAAAAAGGTATAAGGTATTCTGCTTGAGCAGGGGGCTGGACTAGAAGACCTCCAAGGTTCCTTCCAGTTCTATTCTGATTGATGGATGTCAATTGATCAAAGTTCGGTGTCAAGGAAAATCTCTAGAAGGCACAGTCGATGGAGACAGGGTGTGGAATCGAGGAACAATTCCATTGTTAATGATTGCCCAACGAATCATAGATGCTACCATTTTGCTGGATCCTGGCCAAAAGTGGATAGGCAGGGATCCTAAAATTCACGTTTGGTTGTACAATTTGGTGGAAAGAGGAGATAGTTCAAAGTCGGGGGCCGGGGGGGGGGAGGAAAACTGACCTCCTATGACTTTAAAAAGCATGAAGAGAAATAAGTCATTGAGGGAGGTGCGTAGAGAGGAGATACAAATGTGAATTCCTTGGTACTCTCTGACCTTCGTGGTTATGGAAGGAGGAGGAGGAAGAGGAGGGAAACTGTGGGGTCCTCGGTGCTCTCTGAGCTTGGTTGTTTGTTGGCAGAGGTTTCATGACCCAACTAGGTCACGTCTTCAGTGCTACTGATAGTGGTACTACTGATACTGGTAGCACTGATGATGTGACCTAGTTGGGTCATGAAATGTCTGCAAGAAAACAACCAAACTCGGAGAGCACCAAGGATCTCACAGTCCTCCTCCTTCTCCCCTCCCTTCCTCTCACTCCCTCTCCTCCTCCTCTCCACAAACTCCACTCCCTTCTAGCACTGATGATGGTACCTAGTTGGGTCATGAAATGTCTGCAAGAAAACAACCAAGTTTGGAGAGCACTAAGGACCTCACAGTCCTCCTTCTTCTCCCCTCCCGACCCCACAATTCCTTCCCTCCTCCTCTCCACAAACTCCACTCCCTTCTAGCCCTGATGATGTAACCTAGTTGGGTCATGAAACATCTGCAGAAAGGCCATCCAGCTCAGAGAGCACCCAGGACCTTACAGTTCAGCCCTATTGTCTCCTCTTGACCCAGCCAACTGCATGTCCTCTCACCGTTTCTTCTGCTTGTATCTCTTACAGGACTTCTGGACACTGGTGGTGGATCCCTATTGTTGCTCCCTTCCTGGGTGCCATCGCAGGTGTTTTGGTCTACCAGCTGATGATAGGTTGCCATGATGAACCCCCTCCCGAATCCAACGATGAGGAGAGCGTCAAGCTGTCCAATGTGAAGCAGAGGGACAACGTCTGAAGCTACGCGCTTGCTCCCTGGACAATTTTTTTTTAAAAAAATATATGATAAAAATTTAAAAAAAACTGAAAAGAACCAAAGAAGAAAGTCAAATGTTCACCCAATAGGATTTTGGAGTCTTCTTCATGCTTACTTCTTTGTCTACCCTTGATGTGTGTTTTTTGTTGTTGTTGTTAAGGCAGCTTTCTCCCATCAGGTTACCTTCAGGTGTTTTGGAACTAGAATTCCCAGGTTCCTCTTTCAACATGCTAGCTGGGAAGGATGGGGATTGGAGGCCCATCCAATCTGGAGGTCACCAGGTGGAGGGAACTGCAGGGGAATGTCCATGTCTACCTTTGTTAAGGCAGCTTTCTCCCACTCAAGTTCTTTCTGGAACTAGAATTCCCAGTTCCTTTTTGATCATGTTGGAAAATGGGAATTGCAGATTTGGAGGTTATCTGGAGTTTGCCTGTGAATGTTGATGTTTCTATTAAGGTAGCTTTCTCCCATCAAGTTCCCTTCAGATGTTTCAGAACTAGAATTTCCCAGGTTTCTCTTGGAGCTGACCATGTTGGCTGGGAAGAATGAGAATTGCAATCCCAGCAGACCTGGAGATCACCAGGTGGAGGAAACTGCCTGTGAATATGCATATATCTTGTTGGGGGATTATGATCTATCTTGGCTTGTTTTGAAGGACCCACCTGACCAATAGTTCTGCTTCCAGGTGGGATATTTTGGCTACTTGGGGGCTCCTCTTTTACTATGTCATTCCTAACAAGTTTGCTCTTTTGGTCTTCTCTGTTGCTTCTGCTTCTTTTGGCATGAGATGGGTTTGGAAGGTATGGGTTCATCTTTGTAAATACATTTGGGGCTGCGGTTTGAGAGAAGGATGGGGGGGGAAAGCTATTACAGCTGCTGTGAACAGCTAGATAGTCTCAATCCACTCATTTATAAGGGCTGGATTTTCTGCAAGACGTTTTGGGTGAAAGTCAACGATACAGAATAAGACAGTTGGAAGGGACCTTGGGTTGGGTTGGGTTGGATCATTACTGTATGTCTTTCTAGACAACTAGAAATTTGTCTTGATTATTCCAGACAAATAACCTTCATCCCAATTGTTTAGTCTTTTGCTTTCTGAGAAACCGTGTACATTTAATTCTTGCTTCAACTTGTTTTTGTTCATTGTTTTAAACGTGCATTTATGAAAAGATCTTCACATAATGACTGCTACCCTGTGTCGTTCATACCCAAGAGAGTGAGGTCATAAGCAGACTATGGTGGGGCAAGATTGAGTGTTGAATTTTGGCCCAGGTCTTTTACATAGGGCTATTTTTAATTCCAAATGGATAGTGCAATCAGAGCTGGGAAGAAAACCACGCACAGATTAGTAACATCATGCAATACCTCCAGTTATTTGAGAGCCAGTTTATTCTAGTGGTTAAGGCAACAGGCTAAAAACCAGGAGATGATGAATTTTAGTTCTGCCTTAGCTATGAAAGCCAGCTGGGTGACTCTGGGCCAATCACCAGGGGGCTGTGAGTTCTAGTTTCTACTTTAGGCACAAAAGCTGGTTGAATGACCTTGGGCCAGTCATTCACAGGTTGGTTGTTGTGGGGAAAAGAGGAGGAGGAGGAGGAGGAGGAGGAGGAGGAGGAGGAGGAGGAGGAAGGAGTATTAGATATATTCGCTAACTGGAATTATTTGTTAATATAATACAGGCAGAATACAAATGAAATCAATAAAAATTTATCTGGATCCATCCTTTCAAAAAAAAAAAAAAAGCACTTCCACTGAAGCCATGTAAGACACACACAGACACACGGAGAAAATTTTATATTGCCAGTGGGATACAAGCTTCCTTAAATTATGGATTTCCCAAACGATCTGTAAAGTTTAACATCTGTACTGTATTTCCAGGTATTTGTTTTTTTAAAAAAAAATGAAATTAATACACCTCTTGTATAATTGCTGTCATTGTTTGGCAGTATTTGTAAACAGGGCTGTAATAAATAAGGCCGGCATTGCAAATGCCACTGTTTGATACGAATGAATTAAATGGAATCCTTTGTATTTCTATTTTTGTGGAGTCCTTTGTGGCCTCTGAGCCTGGGGGGTGTTTCTTGCAAACATTTCATGACCAAGCTAGGTAATATCATCAGTGTTAAAAGGAAGTGGGGTTTGTGGAGAAGAAGGAGAAGAAGGAGAAGGGGAAGGGGAAGAGGAAGAAGAAGAAGAAGAAGAAGGGCTATTATGAGGAGGAGGAGGACTGTGGGGTCCTTGGTGCTTTCCAAGCTTGGGGGATTTCTTGCAAACATTTCATCAACCAGCTAGGTAATATCATCAGTGATAGAAGGGAGGAGCTTGTGAAGAAGATGAAGAAGGAGAAGGGGAAGGGGAAGAAGAAGAGAAGGAGGAGGAGAGACAAGGAAGGTGGAAGGAGGGAGGAGGAAGGGGAGGAGATAGAGGAGGAGGACGACTATGGGGCCCTTTGTGTTTTTTTCCTGCAGACATTTCATTACCCCACCAGGTAACTTTATCAGTGCACTAATCCAGCTATCCAGTTTAATAAGAAAAGGTCTGCAGGAAAACCACCAAGCTCAGTGAGCAACAAGGACCCCATTTATTAAGCACAACTTTGCAACTCAACAGACGGGTGGCTGGCTTTGCTTTTCCCTACTTCTGAGTCAACAATGCTGGCTGTTTTTCCACAATATACTTGACCTGCTAAGGGAATTTACCTTTTCTCTGGGTGGAAACAAAACACCCACCCATGAACATCAGCTAGCAGCCAGAAGCCATGATGAAACCTCTTCAATTTCACAACACAAGGACAGACTTCACCATAGTTTCAACTGGGAAACTGAGAGCATCCTAGACCCAGCCAAGTCCAAACATGCCAGAGGATTCCTGGAAGCCTGGCACTCTGACAGATTGGCTATTGACAGGCAAATTGAGATATGCAACGTCTACATGCCATTCAAAAAAGTCCATCCAAAAAGCTAAAAGATCTAAACACTTCCTCACCATCAAATAGCACCCAGATAAGCACCGATGAACACCAAGATTCGTTCTAGAGACAAACAATCCAGAAATAAATAAATAACACCCCATTCAAAGAACTACCAAGACCATTCTCACCAACAATGAGAAGGCAAGCCATTTCTATATAAGCAGATGCAAACCTCACTTCCTTCCAGCACTGATAGCATTACATGGTTGGGTCATGAAACATCTGCAAGAAAATGACCAAGTTTGGAGAGCACTAAGGATCCCACAGTCTTCCTCCTCCTCCTCCTCCTCCTCCTCCTCTCCTCTTTTTCCTCCTCCATCCCAGAAACCTCTCTCCTTTCTAGCATTGATGAAATTGCCTAGTTGGGTAACGAAACGTCTGCAAGAAAATAAGCTCTTCAAATCCTACTTCCTTCTTGTACTGAAGATGTTATCCAATTGGGTCATGAAATGTCTACACAAGGATTACACAGTCCTCCTCCTCTTCCTCCTCCTCTTCCTCCCCCCATCTTCTCCACTCTGGAAACCTCACTCCTTTCTACCACTGAAGATGTTAACTACTTGGGTCACGAAATGTCTGCAAGGAAACAACCCAGCTCAGAGAGCACCAAGGACCCCATAGTTCCTTCGTTCATTCATACCGAAAGCAACCTTGAAGGTAACAATTCTTATTTCCCAACATGCATTTTAGCTCTGTCATTCCAAACTGTATCTACAGCTCTACCTCCCTTCAGGTATTCATGAGCTCTGCTCCACGAGATCAGGCCACCCCATTTAATGATTTATTACATTCTTTTACACCTGTCACTACTTTCCTTTTTTTCTTATCTACTTTTCTTTGTTTTTCCTTCCATGCCTTCCTTCACACCCTTCACCCTTTACACCTCTTAAATTCCAAGTTGCAGTTTTTAATTTGCTATGAAATACCACCAAATGAGGTCATTGGTACTGATCTCCACCCTGCCCATTCCGAATTTAATCAAGCAAAGCTTTCACACATACAGGTAGTTCTCAACTTATGACGCCCCATGGAGTCCAAAATTCCCATTGCTAAGTGAAACAATTCTTATGTGACTTTTGCCCCATCCTACAATGAGGAGAGCACATTTTAATCCTTCTGTCTTGGCCACTTTTTACAGAGGCCCGATCAAGACCGTTTTAACAAACAGCATCACTTTTTGGTGGCGGCAGTGCCTCAGATAGAAAGTCCCTACAGAGAGTGGTGAGGACAGTGGAGAAGTTTATAGGAAGCTTGCTTCCTGCTATTCAGGCTGCTTATAAGTGCTATGTGCTTAGAACTCTAAGCCTTGTTAGAGACTACACATACCCATTTCATGGTCTGTTTCTGTTCCTTCCCCCTGGAGGAGGATTCGAAGCAGTGGTGGGTTTCAAATTTTTTTTACCACTGGTTCTGTGGGCATGCATGCACAGAGGGCTTGCTTCTAGCCTTCTCCCACAATCCTGCACTCTTTTCTCTCCTGCTCTATGGAGTGGAGAGTTGGTCTCTGACAAAAAAGACACTTGAAGAGACTATAGAAGCATTTGAATTGTGGATTTACAGACAGCTATTATGTATGAGTTGGGTTGATATAATCAGAAACGAGGAGGTGATAAGCTGCCTGGGAAAGCTGAGGGAAATCATCAAAACCATTCAAAGGCGGATGTTAGAATATTTCAGACATGGGATGCGACACCCAGAAAAATACGGCATCCTTCACTGAATCCTCCAGGGAAAGATTGAAGGCAAGTGAGGTCCTAGGCAGAAGAAGAACATCATTGCCCAGAGGATCATGGGTTGCCCTCTCCCCTCTTTGGAAGAGCTTCATAGCTCCTGCTGCCTTAAGAAAGTTCAAAACATTCTCAAAAGATCCATCTCTTCCTGGGAACCCTTTTTTTTTTTTAACTATGACCATCTGACAGACGGTACAGGATAATAAAAACAAGGACAAGTAGACTGAAAAACAGCTTCTATCCCAGGGCAGTAGCTCTTTTGAATTCTACTGTAGAGTGCAATATTCATGCAATATCAGGGGTTTTCAATTCAGTTGTACAGAACGTGAAGGACGTGGGTTTGAGTTTTATTTTTATAGTTATAATGTACACTGAAGATGGCATTTAATTTCATTGCACAAGGTGCAATGACAATAAACTAAAATAAAATAAAATAAACATCATGGCTTCAAAATCTAAGGGACTGGTTTGGACAAAACTCAGCAATCCTTTTTCGTGTGGCTGTCAAACAAAATAGCATCGCCAACATGATGCTATGATCATCGTCTGATGACGGATATGGCACAAAAAGAAGAAGTTGTATAAGCAGAGGAATAGAATAGAGTTGGAAGGGGCCTTGGAGGTCTTCTAGTCCAATCCCCTTCTTAGGCAGGAAACCCTACACCACTTCAAACAAATGGTTATCCAATATACACCCTATGACTATTATTAAGTGTTGTCCCTGATGATTCTTGACTCTTGACGTATGTATCTTTTCTTTTATGTACACTGAGAGCATATGCACCAAAGACAAATTCCTTGTGTGTCCAATAATACGTGGCCAATAAAGAATTCTATTCTATTTTTAAAAACTTCCAGTGTTGGAGCATTCACAACTTTTGGAGGCAAGTTGTTCTGCTGATTAATTGTCCTCACTGTTAGGAAATTTCTCCTTAGTTTTAAGTTGCTCTTCCCCTTGGTTAGTTTCCATCTGTTGCTTCTTGTCCTTTTCTCAGGTGCTTTGGAGAATAGCTTGACTGTCTCCTCTTTTGTGGCAGCCCATGAGAGGCATGGAATCAAAATCACATCAAGTATTAGTACCGCTGGATAAAGCCTTAGTAAGGCCTCATCTGGAATTCCGCACCCACTTTTGGTCACTGTGTTACAAAAAAAGAGGTTGAGACTTTGGAAAATGACTTTTCAATACCTTCATTAATGGCATAGCTGGCAGGAATAGCTAATACCCAAGAAGATAGGCTCAAGATCCACATGGATCTTGACAGACTAGAACACTGGGCCGTATCTAACAAAATGAAATTCAATGTAGAGAAAAGTAAAGTCCTACACTTAGGCAAGAAAAACCCAAAATACACATATAGACTGGGTGAAACCAGGCTTAATAGCAGTAACTGGGAGAGGGATCTTGGAGTCTTAGTGGACAACCAGCTAAATAGGAGCCAGCAGTGTGCAGCAGCAGTCAAAAAAAGCTAATGCAATCCTAAATTGCATTAATAGAGGGATACAATCAAGATCAAGGGAGCTACTAATACCTCTCTATAAAGCCTTAGTACCACCACACCTAGAGTACTGCATTCAGTTTTGGTCACCACAAGTAGTGGGATTCAAAAAAATTTACTTGGCTTGGTGGGTGTGGCAGGGGGAGGATACTGTAAAATCTCCAGTCGGAGGTGGTATTTGCCTGTTCTCCGAACTACTTAAAATTTCCACTACCGCTTCTCCAGAACTTGTCAGAACCTGTTGGATACCATCTTTGGTCACCACACTATAAAAAAGATGTTGAGACTCTAGAAAAAGTACAGAGAAGAGCAACCAGGAGGATTAGGGGACTGGAGACTAAAACAGACGAAGAACGGTTGCAGGAACTGGGCCTGGCTAGTCTAGTGAAGAGAAGGACCAGGGGAGACAGGAAAGCAGTCTTCCAGTATTTGAGGGGCTTCCACAGAGAGGAGAAGGGGGTCAATCTATTTTCTAAAGCGCATGAAGGCCAGACAAGGAATAATGGATGGAAACTCATCCAGGAGAGATTCAACCTGGAAATAAGGAGGAATTTTTTGACAGTGAGAACAATCAACCCCTGGAACAGAAGTTGCCTTCAGAAGTTGTGGGAGCTTCATCACTGGAAGCTTTCAAGAAGAGACTGGACAGAAATGGTGTAGGGTCTCCTGCTTGGGCAGGGGCTTGGACTAGATGACCTACAAGGTCCCTTCCAACTCTGATTATCTGTTATCTGTTAAAAAAATCAATTGTTCAATTGCCCTGCAGCAAGTTGACCAGTGGTGAGTTGACGATGGCAAGAGCTGACCCGTTCTGACCCCGGACTAACTCAGTTCTTCCACCGTAGAGGGCTTGCCCTTGTGGGAAAATGCTGGAGAAGGAGTGTGCTGTAAACAACTCATTGAGTTCCTATAATGATATAAATCAAAAGGCAGAAAAGAAACCAGCCATCTGGAACGGGCTCACCCTTCCATAGTTTTCATAGCCAACGGGGATGAACTGATCCTCTTCGGGTCAGGACAAGATTATTTTTGCCAGCAGAGGTCAATTCTACAGCTTCCTTTGATCCTGGACTCTTATGGGAAGGGAATGTCCAGCTATTGTGCTGCTGTGTGGTGGAGATCAGATGTCCTCAACCATGAGCAAAGAAATGAGCGAGGGGCCTTCAAGCTCAACAGGTCTCTCTCTCCCTCTCTGGCTCCCTCTTGCCTCACACCTTCAGCCATGGGCTGGAGGGAAGGAGTGACCAGAACAGGAGGGGGCAAGAAGGAAGGAGGAAAGGAAGTAGAAGCCACACCACAAAGAGATCCTAGACTGGGTGGTTTCCCTGTGTCGTATAATATATGTGGGTATATATATATTCTTTCTTTCTTTCTTTCTTTCTTTCTTTCTTTCTTTCTTTCTTTCTTTCTTTCTTTCTT